TTATTTAGAATAATAATATAATATCAGAAGATATATCTGAAAAAATAGAAATTCAAAACTTATTTAAAAATATATAATTGGATCATATAGTCTTAAAAAGAAGGTTTTAGCTATATTTATCAAACCAATTAAGCAGTTTTATAAAAAAATATCATAATCCTAAATATTTAGTAAATTTATACTTTTCTAAAAAGTTCAATTAATTTTAAAAAATTTATTAGTTTTAAAATCAATTTTTTAAAATCAAAGTTATTTATTAAAGAAAATTTCTATTCATATATAGGATATTTAAATATAGATCACATGATTTATTAAATACAAACTGTTTAAAACTCACTTTAAATTTTTTTGATAGTTGTTCCTTATGTTTGATAATAGTTGGATTAATAATATTAGTAAACATTTCAGATTTTCATCCATTTATTTTGATTTATATATTAAAAATAAAAGATTTTAGTTTATTCAATAGCTTATAATGCATATTAATTTTCAAAGCATAAGCAATGCTTTTTTGATCAACCTGCTTAATTTTACGTAAATAGCTTTATTTAAGCTTTGAACTAATATCAATATGAAGGTATATAGGTATTCAGTTGTATTACTAAATAAAAAGATCAAGTAATTTTTGAACTAAGTTCATGGATATAGATAAACTCACTATACTGACAAATATTAAGGAATTGAATCCAAACTCTACCTTGATATATGATTTCAAAATCACAATGACTGAAGATAATGCAATATTAAATCAATTTTAATGATAACTAAACACACTTTGAGACATATAGTTATATAAAATTTACTATTAGATACTACTTTTATAAGTTTTATATAATAGATAATATAACATTAAAATACTATAGATAATGTTCACCTTTTTGTTTAAGTTCAATTCTATCACAGGTCATTCCTCATTCGAAAATGAGAACTCTTGATCACCATCAAGAAAGGATTTTTATGATAGATAATATTAAAAAAAAATAATGAGAAGATTTTGATCTCATTGAATTTAAAAAATCCGTTTATTTATTTAAAATCACAAATTTAAAACAACCAAATAAAGGTAATTAATTTAGGAAAAAGGAAATCTACGACTAATCTAGATTATTCAAAAGTCACTATTTTTACTATTTTTAAATGTAAGAAATTTTTGGAAATTTTTATTTTTCTAAAAAATAAATAAATGAATGACTATATAATGCTGGTTTACATAGCATCAAATTTACTTCTATCAACTTTCTTTCCTTTTCTTGAAGAATGAATAGATCGAGATGGACTTGATTTAATATCCAAACTAGAAGATGCGATCGTTTGCGAATTAAAAGTATTTATCGCAATAGGTTTATTACCCATGGATTTCTATTTTTTTTTTTTAAAAAAAAAATAAAATAAACAAATTAATTATTTTCAAGCAAAAAAAAAAAAAAACTCAAATAACATTAATGCATACCTTTTTCTGTAATACGTATTCATAAGCTGCTAAAGAATTGGATACTAAAAGATTCTGGGGAAACAATTGATTCAAAACCTCTTCTATATCATTATTACTGGGCCAAAGGTTAAGAGACATATCAATCATATAATCAACTAGTCTATGAGTTTCTTTTTCACTTTCAGCTTGTAATATTCTTTGAATAAACCTTTTCATAGCAATAATAAATGAATCGGCAGGAATTTTTCCTTTATTTACACCATCAAAATCAATAACGTTATTAAGATCTTCTTTCATTCTATCTGTTAGATCATCCTTGAATTTCCTATCAACGTATTGAATCATTATGTCGGCAACCTGTTCTTCGATTATTTCATAGAGTGATACGATATGTTTTAATTTAAGTTCGTAACACAAGATATTCTTGAATCTTGGATTTTCTGATAATGATGATAATTGAATCCATTGATCTATAAATTCGCTGAGAAGTAATTCCCCATCTCCAATAAAAGATCTATTAACGAAACAGAGTAAAATTTCCAATAAAGAGAGTAGTTCGGAAGAATTGTCTTTTGAAAGTGTTAAATGAGAAGAAATTGCTTGTTGACCAATTATGAGAGATATCTTTTCAGAAGGAATTGTTTCTTGAGGAATTAATGATTTAATCTCACCAAGCAAACGCATTGAAGAAGAAAACAATTCCAAATGATAAGGGAAAGGATCTAATATCAATTGTTCATTACCAACCCCTTCAAAATAAGCTTTATTATGAACCAAGGTATTAGCCAATTCACTTTCTATTCGTTGTAAATCGTAAATGATATCCTGACCTTTTCCTACACCCAAGTTCCTTTGAGAATACTGTAATATTTCGTCATTCCATTCATAAAAAATAAAATTGCTTTCGATTGCACGTTCAAGTTTCATGGTTTTAACGATATAAGGGGCATTATCAATTGAAGAAGAATCAAGATCATCCCAAGAAGGCGATTGTAAGAATTTAAGAGAACCACAGGATCCAGGTGGTATTGACATCATTCCTTCCAAGAATTTATTTTGAATATTAATCAAGAATTCCAAGATGGCACAAAGGTAAATCCCCTCATCTTTTCCTTCCATCAATCCATATACAACACTTTCTTTAAAAGAAATTTGCGGTTTTTCCTTAGGAATGTCATGACATTGGTATCTTTTAATCTTATAAATTATAGTGTTATAAGCATCTCGAAATTCAACAAATGATTTACAAAGTGAATTATAGGTATCTGTATCTCCATTAGATGTCTTTTTAATAAACTCTTCAAAGGTTAATGTTTTAGCTTCTTCCCTTGATAATTTGTAACCCAACCTATTGCTTAGTAATTGAATAAATTTGACCATATGATAAAGATATTGAATTAAGGGAAGATCTTTTGAATGTTTGAAGAAGACCTTAAGGAAGGGGTATTTGTGAAAATGGTTCGGATCAGATATATAATAAGCTCTAAAACTATCATAATCAATTCTACCAATTATCCTCCATAAAGCAGGTAAATTTTCATTTAAATACTTGTCATCCATCGTATTCGATTGATTAATTTCTTCCTCTAGTAAAGAATTTCTTACGTCGGCTTTTTTCATATTTTGATCTAATTGAGCACGAAATTTCGTCGAAGATTCATTTACGCTACGAGTAAATGGAAGTACACAAGTTTGAGTAAACATTTTTTCCCATTGATCTCTATCGTTAGAAGTGTGAAGCGTTGAATTGTATTGCGGGGGATTAGTGGTAAGATTTAATATAATCGAATGAAATGTTAAAGCCAAGTTTTCGCAGGAACAGTTCAGAATTGTTTTTAAAATGTTCCAATCATTTTTAATATGTTCCATACAATAATTTTCTACATTAGTATAATTCTTATTATGCTGTTGAATGAAAGCATTGACGGGTGGAGAAGGAGCCTGAGAACCGATAATAGCGTGAACGATTAAGTGAAGTATTCTATAAGAAACTGGAGGCATATTTCTTGTGGTATGATTAATGTCTTTATCAGGACTTTCTGAAATATACCCTCTTTGATCCTTTGATTCAAATTTATTTTGGCTGATAGCATCGATCCTAGTATTACCGGACGCCGCAACATGCTTTGATCCTCCAATCTTTTTTTTGCATTCGGGACATTTACTTTCGATCCAAGCTTGACCACATTCTCCGATTAGATATTTGTAACCACATTGACAAGCATATCTTGAAACGATATCGCTTTCCGCTATAGCGCTAAGTACCATACTTTCAATATCAGATTGACACGTTAATACAAAAGTGTTTTGAGAATCTCCAATTCTATGCATATACATGGATAATGGAGTGGATTGTGGTTCAAGTAATATATGTAATCCAATAATATGAGTCAAAACCGATTTCATTAATAATTCATCATTTGAAATTCCTTGATTTATCCTTAATAATGATTGCGTGTTAGTTAAAACATTTAGAATCGTTGCCTTAACCTTCTCTGGAATGGTGGTCAAATTAACAAGTTGTTGACTAAAATATTGGGAAATATCTCTTTCATTCTGATTCCACTCCCTTGAAGCTCTAATCGAATGTAATTTGGTCATTACGATTCCGATTAATAATAATTTGTTTGATAGATTTGGAATTTTGTCATTCAATTGTTGAAATATTTGGTTAAATGAAGTTTTATTATTACTATGATATAATAAAGTGAACGCTAGTTCTAATTTGCCATAATCCGGTATGGCCCAATAAGGATTAAATGGTAATCTATTGTCATCTTTATTATTCGCATCAAAATTGTTGAACCAATTCAAATTTTTTGATTGAGCATCGCAGAATTTCTTAATATCGTCACTTGAAAATTCTCTATTAATCCGTAACTCTCTTAATAGATACAACTTAAACGCGTGAATTAGCGGGTGAGCCTTCGTCAATATAAGATTTAATTGTTCCACCATTGTCGTACCATCAAAGTCTTTGGCATCCAACAGATTATACGTGATGGGCTGAAGAGAATCATCTTTTCGTTTAATTAAGAAATTCCAGAACCGACTGGTGAATTCTTTAAGGAATGCAATTGAAGCGATACGTTGTAACGGTTCAACATCGTTTCCGTATAATGAATTAATGGCCGAATTAAACCCATTGCTTAAAGTGTTTAAATCTAATTTTGAAAAGAATCCTTGCTGAAGAACATCACAAACCAACGTGGACATCATTGTACTCAGCCTATTTATATCAAAACATTGGTTGATGATGTACAGCCTTCCTGAATATTGTAAAGTTTGTTTTGGTTGAGTCACAAGTTGCAAGATAATATTTGGGTATTCTTTTTCTTCAATCTTAAAGATTCGTAATATGATTGCTCCCATAAGCGGGAATGGTGAAGAAGAAAATAATATTTTATAGAAATGAAGTCTAATGGGTGATTCTAACGTGAGCATATCAAGACTTCTTAATACAAATAAACGTCTTGGAATTAAATTCCTTTCGGTAGGTTCAAATTTATCAAATGTTGAGATTACTATGTTAATAAATTCTTTTGAAATCAAATCATCTTGAAATTCAATATCAGAAGCAATCCTTTGTTGTTGAGCGTATTTAATAATCTGTTTAATATTTTCTAATGGGATTGATTTGTTTATCAAGATATCATTACAAATTCGAAGTAATTGTAGTGAATATAACTTAGAAGACACGTTGATCTTTTCACATAATGATAACACTTTTGTCACTTCATATTGCCACTTTTCAAGTATGAATCTATTCTTTAATCTCTCACGATCCTTCGTGGTGGTGATCCAATATAAAAGATCTTGTATGACCTGTTCAACAAGATATTTTTCAAAATCAACATCGGATAATAAGTTATCATCATTTTCTTTCTCAATTTGTATGATGATGTCGGGGATCATTTTAGCCAAAGCCAATTCGGCGAGAATGGAAGAACTATTTTTCCACCAATATGAATGAAGTCTAATAGGATTTAACACATTTTCGACACCCAACCTTCTTTCAAAAATGAATTTCAATAACTTTTCTTCGATGCCCTTCTCCATCTTTTCATTGATATTATTTGCTTCGTTGGTCAATATGACGTTAATGAAATCTTTAAAATATTTATTGGGAAAATTGGCGATGGGAGAATTCTTAATAATAGGACTTTTTTCAATGTTACTGATGAATTTCTTATTATAATCTTCAACCACATGAGAATATAATTCTCCTGTTGTTTGATCCACGTTCTCTTTATCATTGTGTAAAGATGCTAATTCTTCTTCATAAATCCTTTTTGAATCATCAATTTTTTTCATTATATACGATGAAAATGGAAACTCTAATTCATAAATTCCGTGTGACATAGTATAACCGTCGGGTGATGGTTCTTTTGTATTTTCGATTGAAATCATATTTTCATCATTGACCATCTTGTGCCAAAATTCTAATAAATAAACATCATCATTCGCCATGATTTCTTCCGGAATGTCTTCCTCACTTGCGGGACCTTTTGCACAAAGACTTCTCTCGTATAAAAGAATGATGGTGTAAATCGCCGAATATTTTTCAAGGGCGTATAATAATTTGGCAATAGGCTGTCGTACAATACTTCTAATTCGAGTCAAGAGCGCATTAACAAAAGAAGAGTAAGGGTATAACAATTTCTTGTTGGACGCAATTTCATATTGCCAGTTGGTGTTTTTAGGATATTGCTCCAACCATTCTATCGTCCTAACCTTTAATAAATCAATCAAAATTTGATTCTCAAATATTTTTTCGTTAAGCATTTTAATATGTTGTACAGATTTAACGTTTGAAGGATATTTGATACACAATAAACACCATAATAATTCTTGCTTCAGGATCTCTTCGAATGGATATGTTGACGTTATTAAATCCGATAAACTATCATTCAAAAGTAATGACAATTTCTTTTCTTGTGGTAACAAAGATTCTATAGTAACCTGATCCCATCCGCACATAAAATTAAATGATGCCATAGAATTTTCTTGTTCTCTGTGAATGTGTAAAATGATGCATGCATGTTTAACAGGAAGCACCTCTTGTGATTGTTTTCCATTTGAGGTTGATGAATTTTTTTGTTGCAACAATTGTAATTGACGTTTCTTCTTTTGTAAATACTCATTACGATATTGTTCCACTAAGAATTTAGCCAATTTAATGCACCCCGCACTAACGATCGTAACGTCACATTGTAATATTAACATTGCATCTTGAGATTCCATCCAAAAAGATTTTATTCTATTTTGAAATTGAGATTCAGTTTTGAACGTTGATAATTTATCTACTTGACAATCAACCACATATTGCAGGCATGATTTAACATCCGTATTGATATTTGAAAATGTATTAACAATGATTTGTAATCCCATATTTTCATCATCAAAAACACTTTCCTCATGAAATTTGTAGAGACGATATTGAATATGATCGATTAAACTATCATGATGTTGTTGATTGAAATAAATATTTTTCCATTGTTTAACTTTGCCCGCGCCTAACCTCGATCTTTCGGCTCTAATCATACCGTCGGAGGAAGCAATTTTGATCAACTTTTCCTTGCATTTAAACAAAACTTCCTCATCATCATCATCAGGAAAACTTTTCTTAATATCGATAACCAAACTTTGTAAAGTCTCATTTTCATCAAATCCGATGAATAAATCCTTTTGTTTAAATTTTCTCAGGTTAAAATTAATATTGAAATTATTGTCCGTTATGGTGGAAATTAATTCAGTCCATTCTTTAAGTGCTTCCACCAATTCATTTTCTTGCGAGGTCAATGTATCACTCATGACCATTCTTTGTTTTTCAAATCTATTTAATAATGGTGGATCCGCCTTTTCTAACTTATTTTCATCCATCACTAATATACATCTAAATGTTGGCGCCACATATAACATTGGATTGGCATACGCGCCAAGTGCTACTCTGGTATAAAATTTTGGATCGTCTTCGCTACCAACCACGATATAATTTTGATTCCACAGATCATACAAACTTCCTGCATTATTGAAACAAATTAAGATAAATTAAAGTAAAATATTTGCTTTTTTTTTAAAAAAAAAAAAAACAAATGAAACTCACCATAAATAATTTCTAAATCTGTCAAAATCAATGGTTTACCGGTTTCAACGCACATCATAATTCTATTTAAAACGCTATAAGAATAATCATCCTGATCTTCAGGAAATTGCGATCCAAGGATTATAACAGGATCCAAATTTTCTTTTCTTAATTGATAATTTAATAAATTAACGATGCTATCACTTTTACCAATGACCATTAAATGTCTCGCATCTTTATCTTCTAAATTCGCGTCAATTAATTGCCATATCGGTATCGATTTATATTGATATTCTTTTGATGAATTAAAATATCTCATCACTGTTCCAAAATAATCTTCAACTAATTCTTTGATGTTATCCGCACCACCAAAATTCCTTATCAATGCCATTTGTATATTCTCTGGTGTCAAACTGTTATTTTGTGATAAACTCTTAACTAATGAATAGTAATCTCTTAATCCGTGGAAGTTTGGTAACTTTTTTTGCCCCTTTAATTCATAAGATAAATATGAACGTGCTAATAATAATAATGATGCTTCTGTTATCTGAGAATTTTCACTCTTTATAAGTAATCGTTTTGCCGTATCTGTTAAATCAACTAATTCAAATTTTGGCCTTTGAACTAATAACGCTCTACTACTTTTACTGTTATCTAAACGCCAATTTGAAATGGCCACACAAGAAACTTTTGGTTCGGTATCTGGATAACTTGGTTCAAGTAACGAATGCAATACTTTTAACGGATTAAACGGACTTTTTTCGGCCAATCCCACTAATCAAAAGATGTATAACGTTAATAATAACGAAAAATAGGGAGAAATGGTTTTAAGAAAATTTTGTATTAATTTACCTTCGTCAAGTAATACGACACTGATAACCGGAAATTCCTCCGAGCTTGTATCTTGAAAGTTAACAGCCTTGTCAAATACCTTTATTATACCCTCAGAAGTTGAGGAGGAAGAACCTTGATGTGGTATTAAATATACTTGAGGCAACTTTCTAAAATATTCATCATTTGAATCCGATCCTCGAAGATTCTGACTTATAAGTCTCACGGCTAAAGACTTTGAGGAGCCAGGTGCTCCGATAATGAAACAAGGGATTTTGGTCAGGATGCATACGATCATGACCAAAACATTCTCCAACAACGCTTCATTCTTCGCCGTATTAGGTGGACATTGCATTCTATCCACGTAATCATCTTGTTCTTCCCGTAAAATTTTGCTAAATCGATCTTCATTAATATTAATCTTATGTTTTTTAAAAACCTCTCCCATCTTTTTTCTGTAATCTGTTCTTAACTTTTGTTCATATAATCTTGATTGATAACATAATCCCAATGCGAGAACACAGGAACGTACATTAATTGAAATATCACTAGGTTGTGGATATTTTTTAGGTTTTTGATCATACTTTTTGATAGGAGGGCGACCTTCAAAGCTCTTTTTAAAGAATTTTACGAGAGTAATAGCACGTTTAACGTCACGTAAACTAACGCTATAAGATTCTTCACATTTTCTGATGAATTCTTGTGATTCAAATAAACAGTCGGAAAATACAAGGTGCCCAAGTTCTTTTAATTGTTCTTGCACCATAATTTCAATATATTTTCTTTCTTCAATTGGTTTAAGGGTACCGTAATCCCAAACGTAATCTAGAATTTGATCAGGCAACGGATGAACTTGATAAACAAGTTTGCTTGTCTCTTCAAATCGTACATCTGTGGGTTTTAATAATCCTGCTGTAGTCGCCGCCTTGGTGCGCATACGATATGGATTACATGCCGCAAAAAGTCTTATGTTACAATGAATAGGTTTTCCATTTAACATCCTATGAGCAATCAGGTCAGCGAGTAATCCGATATGATTACAAGTATTAATCTCGTCAAAGAATAACCAAACCTCCCCTTCTTCAACTTTTTCTTGGGAATCTTTCATAAACTTTAAAATGACTTCCTCCGAGATTCCAGCATGAAGATTCAAAGCGTGAAATTCCACTTCAACCACTTTAGATAGGTAACCGATCAAACTTGTCTTTCCGCAACCGGCTTCACCACAAACGATTACCGGGATGCTGGCACGAGCTCTTAATAAAATGAGTGCCATCTTAATTAGATTATCGGCGGAAAGCGCGTATGGTGGATAAACGATTTTATGCATGGTCTTCCTAGCCAAATTTTCTAATATGGATAATAAGTGTTTAGGATCCTTCGTATGATAATCATCCAAATCCCATGAATCTTTATCCCCGATATATTGACTTTTTAATAGGGTTTTGACATTTTGAGGTACTCTTGACCTATCCCTATATAATGCACAGATTGAATCCGGAGTTTGTGATAAGAAAAAGACCAATAAATGATTCGAATCATCCCATTGTTCTATAGTTCCGAGTAGTGCATTCACATCAAGGATATCATTTTCTTTAATCGAAATATTTCCTTTCTGTGCTCTTTTGGTCGCGATAGATTTGGTAGCGAAATCTTTTGATACACTTAATAAAGTTTGAACAAGCGTACTACGAATTTTTTGTTCTTCCACCATGAGCTTTAAATTTTCAACACGAAAATATGAACTTGATGACAGTCTAACCAATTGATCGGCGAATACGTTAACAAAGATTTCAATGAATCGAAATGATAAAATATCTTTTGTTTCATTTGCCCCCTTTTTATTTTTTATGAAAAGATAATCTTCAATTAACTTTCTACATACATTATCAGGCAATGGTTTTAAATCTGAACTTCCTTCCCCGGTCTTAAAATAAATATCTCTTTCATTTATTGCCGCTTGTTCACTAAGTGCTTTTAAGTAATGACAAACAACTTGAATTGGGCTACTTATCTCTTGAGAAACCACCAAATCTCTTATGTCCCAAGTTAAAGGGATATGAGTAAGATATCCCACCATCGGTATAGATTCAAATAAACGTTGTCCCATCGTAGAAGCCACTTCAATGTATATAAACGTATTTGGAAGGATCGCTACATCCATATTAGAAAATACAATTCCTAAAGTTATAAGTTCAAATAAGAACATATTAATCGTATTGGCATCTTCAGCCTCGTTAGCTGATACAATATTTAAATGTAAACATTCAAAAGATCGCATCTTAAATTCTTTAAATTTATGAACCAACGTTCCAAAATTAACTTTGTCGCTAATAAGGAAACTGCTTGGAATTAATCTATTTGAAAAACTATATTGTTTAATCCTTTCGGTTTTACCCTGTCCCGATAGATCCGAAGAAACGGTCATAGCTTTTGGACATAATTCACGGTAAATCATTTTCATCGCCTCTCCGCTTAATCCGTTTGTTGCGTGAACATCTTGTGAGAATTGATCTAAAATATGATGATGAACGTCAGGTTCACGGTAACAGATCAAGGCCAATTGAAACTGTTCATGCCTTTTGCGCATAGACTTAATGAGGTTTACTAGATTAAATTGTAATTCAAAATCTAATAATTCTAAATTAGCGAGACAGAACAAATTCCCCGTGTATCCATTATTATGTGCAAAGAAACACCTTTTAACAAAACTTGCAAGTTCTTCCATAGTTGTAGAAATCGTACATATTAATGTTTGCCATGGTAGAGGGTAGTATCCGTGATTCGCATATAATGACATGATAATGTTTGGAACAAGGGTTTTATCATCACATGCAGCGACAAATAATTTTCCGGGATAAACTATATCTGAAACTACGCGCTCTTTAATAATCCTGACTTTATTTGTCTCTTTAGGAACCTTTCCAAATATTTCTCGTAAATTTGTTCCGATCTCCCCAAGAATTTGCTCGTAATTTTTATTTAAATTAATTGTAACTTTATCTTTTGGAGGCAATTTAGCTTTACTATTGACAAATCGGATTAATTTTTCACATTCTTCAATATTATCGTTCGACTTTTCTCCAACGCTAAAATAATCAAGGAATGTCAAAATATGCCGAGCCGGATAAAAGGTTAAATAATAATAGTCTTCTTGTGCTGCATTCACGATTTTTTCCCTAACAAAATAAAAAAAAAAAAGTTATTTTTAACAGTAAATCAAAACATAAATACATCATGACCATTTGTAAAGATGAGCAACTACCATTCTTTTAAGTCTTCTTTTAAGTTAAGAACTGTTTGTTGCATCTTTTCAACACCACTAAGTTTTCGATTAAATGCACGATAATGAAAATGACCTGTTTGAATGAGCTTCGTAGCAAAATTAATAATTTCTTGTGCCATATCAACTTGAGTAACGAATTTATCCATAATAGGTTTGGAAATTTCTTCTTCGCCTGCCCACGGAGCGTTACTAGATCCAATATCAACAGGCGCCGAAGGTTTTGAAATTAGAAGCGCGCGTCCTCGTAAATCGTGCAAATCAGTCAATGTATATTTTACAAGTCCAGCAACCACTGGATAAGATAAGGTAACTTTACACGTATCTCCCTTATAATCACGTTCAAAGGTATAAGTCCCTTTCCGGACCGCGTTTCTAATTTTTTCTTTTGTAACTTCTCCTTTATTTTGAATAGAATTATACAAGTTTTGTAACGCCATATTGTGACTATTACAAAGTGCTACTTTGTTTCCAAGCTTTGAACTCTGCAGAGTTATAGAGTTGATTTTATCCAAAAATTCATCAAGTGATAATTTTTCTGCCGACTTTAGTAAGGGAAGCAAAAATTGTTTGACTTGGATAAGAGAAGAAACCGTATCTTCTTGTATAAGTCGTTCATCTGATGATTCGTCTACTCCATTAATCAAATTTTTAATATCATGTTCAGCAATTTTTTGAAGAAAAACAATGAATTCACCGGCTAGTGAAAGTTCTCTAATCAGGTCCCAACAATCTTTTTCAATTGATCCAAGATGTTGATTAAAAAACTCAAAGAAGCTGACCAATCTTCCTAACCAGAGGTAATCACCACGAAGAATTAGTTGTAATCTCCCAAGCCAATCATTTTGAGTATGAGTGACCTTAAACATTATTACAACGGTAGTTAATTGCTGAAGTCTCTCAATTTGTGTTGGAACCGAAGCAAGATATGCGAGCGTGTTAATTAATATTTGAGTTTTTTCCGTTTGAATATCCATCATACTTAATTCCTTTTCGACATTTTTGACATTCTTCCAAAGATCACTTCCTTCTGAACATTTGAGTTTCTCCCACTCTTTATATTGACGACATAATTGATCATATTGTTCAAATACCGCTGGCATCAAGATTTGCGCTACATTTTCAACAGTCAAATCAACTTCTTCTGATTTCATCCTAATATCAAAAATATTGCGGAACGTACACGAATTCGCTATCCTATGTGCACGTCTAGAGCTATTCATGTTTTTCTTGTGGACCCCCCAATGATTATCAGATAAGGCAACTTTAAGCGCAAGATACTCCAAGTTATTGTTACGATTGTTGATATCGTCGAGAAACTTTTGAACATCTTTAACTTTATCGATTGGGCAAAAACGATCATAAAATGTTCTTAATTGATCCATTTTCAACAAATATCCATGACAATCTTTTCGATGTTTTTTGATCAAATCTTTGCTGATGATCTCCTTGTTGTTCATTGAAAAATTAAAAAATTGATGCAAGGTGTCAGTATCATATTTAAGGATCTCGTTTAGTGAACGTATCGTTATTTCCTCTCCATTAATTATCTTGGCAAAATCATAAATGTATCTTTGAACTTGCTTAACGTAAGGGTGTGAATATAACTTTTCAACGCGACCTGTTGCGTTGAAAATTAATCTCCAAAATCGAAAAGTTTTAAGTAAATTTAAGATTGTGGTTGATAACTTTGTTTGATTATTAACTATGTCATCTTTGGCCTCTAAATTCGTCATCACACTACACACGATATCTTCACTTAAGCTAACGAATAAAAGAACGAGGATTGTTCAATGGGTGAATTATATATATTTGAATGAAAAGGGACAAAAGTAAGCTCACTTACGCGCTTGGTATATCTAGAATTTCGTTATCACAGCCGCATACTTGTAACAAAATTTTTATCAAGTTATTATCTATTTTGTGCACAGATTTCCATAACATTGCCTTGACCATTCCTCCATATGATACAGAAATTTCTTTTTCCAAAGTTGCAATATTTGGTGTGACGCTCAATATATCAGATACAGCACAATTCCTGACATGATTAACTGTAACTTCCAACATATCATTAAAGATCTTTGCGTACTTTCCAACTATCGGGAAGATATCAGACAAATTCTTATAAATTGCATAGATGAACTTGGAATCATTGGAATCACGTAAATCAGATCCATTGATACGCTCGATTAAATGGTAATACCAGTTTCTACAAATCTCGGGAAGCTTATTTGTTATCAAAGTTTTAAATTTGGAATCAAACCAATAGCTCAATAGAGATGGAAAGGTGACAAGTAAATAATGCTTTGATGATTCAGAAACATAGTCCATGGCTTCTAAAAATTCTTCTTTGGACCAATTGAGTTGAGAATCCTTGAGAATTTGAAGAATTGCTTCCGAGTTCTTTTTATCCCATTCGATACTACGATTTTTAAGCAATAACAAAGCTTTCACTTTAAATATTACTGCAACTTCTACACAAAGTTCCGCGGGGATTAGTGAAAATTGTTTTGCTAAAAGTGTCGCGCGAGGTAATGAAACGAGTTGCTCGACGCGAGGACGAAAGTGTCTAAGAAGATGAATATCCCGATCTTTCGTATGATCGATAACATCCGTCCAAACAAAAAGAAGGGTTTCGAAGGAATTGCAATTGGAAAATAACCACTAGTTAAAAAGTAAAATAAAGAATGATTAGATTCATTTGTTGTAATATAAAATAAAAAAATTCAAAAGTAATTACCCTCCCGATATTAGAATAAATTTTCAAGTCTTTAATTTGATTTACAACAGGCTTAGCGTGTTTGATAAATTCCTTTAGGAAATTCTTAACAAGATCATCAATATTGTTATAACGAAGGTCTTGAATTGCTTCAATAAAGGTAAAACTCGGATCGATAATACTTGCAATCTCAAACAGTTTTAACCAATCAAAAGATCTATTGTCTACATTTAACTGAATAACAGCTGTCATCGTAATGCTTAAAAACAAATAATATTCTTCAGGAAATGTGTCCGGTTGAAAATTTTCTAAAGTGTCAATAATTTGAGCTAGAGGAAATCTATTTTTTGGCAATTTAAGTCGCCCAAGAGATTCTTGTTGTCTCCAATCAAGATAACGTCCCAAAACAAGACATAAGAAAATACGTTTTTCATATTCCTTTGGTTTTGTCTTCAGAAGATTACTTTCAATAAATTCAATTTGTGAAGCATGTAGGGTAAACCTTTCAAAACGATTTAGAAGGTCTTGATATTCTGATATCTTTTCCTTAAGATTAGTCGAGGTTATAGTATTGTAAACGAGATTCAAAAACGCGAAATCTCTAATTGTTGTTAGTTGACATGATCGATTTTTAACTTTAAATCTTCCCACAACGTCAAACTGAAATCCATTTCTCATACCCAAAATTCTTGGTGATTCACCTTCAACTTCAACATAAAGATCTCCTTCTTCTTTATTCCTTGTATCTCTATTCTTCTTATCCGCTTTCGTTTCTTTATTTTTTTGATCCTCAATGTTATCATGCACTTCTTGTGCCGTAGGATCATCCGTTGTTGACGCATTGTCGGCCTGAGTATAAGCAGCCTCATTTTCGAGATCGTCGTTTCCACCATCCCTCGAATTGGATTCAGTTTTATTCTTTTTATCATCTTTAGAAGTAGATTCAATTTTGTCATTTTCACCATCCTTGCCTTTTTTCTTTATACCAGCGGTTTCACCCTTGTCCTTTTCACTATCCTTACCTTTCTTCTTTTTATCAGCAGGTTCACCCTTGTCCTTTTCATCATCCTTAGATTTGTCACCTTTTTTAAACATAGAAGCAATTCCTTTTGATTTTTCCTCGGGTTTTGGTTTCGGAACAAAGAACGCATATCTATACCTAACCTCATTCTCAAATCTATCATTTTGTATTGAAATGGGATCCGAGTACCAATGACTATGATTGGAGTGCATGTATTCACGTTCACTTTTTAATTGCTTTAATTTAACAATTGGTTCTACCCAATTACCTAATTCTTCAATGTTACCAACGATAACCGGGTAACCTTCCACATATTCAAACGAGGGTAGATGGACATGAAAAGTAACTTTAACGCTTGGTACATTTGAAACTTCCTCAACTTCTTTGACAAAGAAAGTTTTAATTCCTTTAAATAATCCTCCTTTAATTGTATCAGGTTCTGCATTGGTGGTTGATTCAGATTGTGAAGGTTGTTGGGGATCATGAAGTTTGTTCATTTCCGTTGAACCAACATCATCAAGGTTCAAAGTTTCTTCGGATTGTTCATGATGAATTAAGGTACCACTTCCTTCGGCATTATCCGATGAACTTTGATTTTCGGACAACATATTTTGCTTCAATCATACAATGGTGAAAAAAATTAAAAATTAAAAATTAAAAAATAAATTATTTTAAAAAAAAATCAAAATCCGATATTTTTTGGATAATTAAAGTTTCAAGGAGGTAGTGGGAAAGGTATACCTATCTATCTATTGAGGGTAAAAAATGAAGAAAAAAATTATTATAAAATTATCGCAAGAACTTTTCATTGAAATTTTTTTTTTTTTTGATTTCCTTGGAACAAAAAAAGCGAAAGAAAGAGAGAAGTGAAGGAAAAAAAAAAAAAAAAAAGGTATTTTTTTTCAGGTCACATTATATTAAAGTTTTTCGAGAATGCGAGATGTAGATCAGTGATTGAATTAAGGTTTTTCTATACAGATGTCAGGTGGTATTACATCATGATCAAATCATCATCTTTTTGCTTAAATTTCAGTTCTAGGAAATTCTTATAAAATTAAATCATTTTATAGTTGCTACCTGTTAAGTCTAAATTAAATTTAAAAAGTATTTTGTATCAGTTGTTCTAGCTTTAAAAAAAGTGACCATTGTTGGCTTTTTTATTCAAATTTTTTATATTTCGGGAAAGTATCTCTTCATTAAATGCATTCATTTATCAACATAAATTTAGAGAAATCTTGATAGTTAATTTTTAAGAGCATAAAAGTCAAAAAATACAATAAAGCTTGCGCTATCGATCAAAAATAAGAGACTAAATTTTCTTGTTACATCCGTTTCCATTTTCATATATCGATTAGGATTTAAGTATATTTTAAATAGATACTAGATAATTTATAACCAATTTGGAGAAAAAGATTTGGTCAGTGATTTGTTATTTTTAAGGCATCAACCCATATGCTCCTTTCACATTTTTGTTGTGTCGACATATGGATGTAACTTGGCAAGAGACTAGGGAACGGGACCGTTGATAAGTCTGGAGCTTATCATTAATGAATTATCAAATTAAACATTGACATATTTGATAATACTGTTTATATACTAAATATTCATAATGAAAAATCACATGCGTGAACAATTATTTACTCATAGAAATCCGAAAGTTGGAGGTGCGATCAGATGATCATACCTCCCGGGTTATGGCAAATTAGATGATCTGAATGAGGTCGACTCCGAATATGAATCACCCGATTCTGATATTGATTAAATAGTAAACATGATTAAGCATCAAAGGATTCGGGAAAAGATTCGGGAGTGTCAAGTTCAAAGGAAAGATTCGGGAGAAAAATGCATAATGTAACGGAAGGCACCGCGCTTACAAATATATATATATATTATTATTTTCTTCAAAGTAAATCTCATTTTACGATTTTCTTCGACAAAACTCATTGTATTTGCATGAATAACACAATTTGAACTCGGAAATTTTATTCTCGTACTATAATGGTCAATAAAACAAGAATTTTATATTATCGCATTAAACGCCGGGATTTATAATTAAGATTCGATCGAAGTGTTGCGTCATGCTGATCCGGTAAAACCAAGTTTATATTAAATTTGAGAACTTTTTTTTTAAAATTAAACCGGAGAGTTCGTTATTGAATCAGCTGCGGACCAAATAATGAACCTGTACAGTGAAGTAGTATACATTCTTGTTTATAATATGGGCATGTGAACATCATTCAAAGTCTTGGCCTGTATTACGATTTAATTATTATTTTATGATTGGCTTTTGATTCATTCTTTTTACCATTTTTTGAATCTAATATTGATTTTTTTTTTTTTAAAAAAAAAAAAATAGCATTAACTTTAAAAAGGAAATGGTGGAAAGTAATTTACAAACAACTCATGGGATGTGTCCCACAAAAAGAAAATACCAACCAAATGCAGGAACAATATTGCGTCTGAGAGTTGCGAATAAATAAAAGGTGCAAGATATTTTATTGTATCAATAAAAACAAAACAATCATGATGTGAATTAAAAAATTTCAAATGAATGAATTGATAAATTAAATTATAATTTCAATTGTAAGAGAAGCAAAAATTCAAACGTTATAGATTTGTTTATCTGTTATTATTTGCTGGTACTTAATTCCCATCTCTTACGCTTTTGCAATAATTGTAATCATTTTCTTCAAAATACCATTTGAATGAGGTAACACCATGTAAATCGAAACACTTATTTTCATTATATCCACCACGGATTCTTTCTGTGTATTTCCAATCATTTAAACCAGCATGAACCCAATATGTCGTAGAATTATCTAATGTATTCAAGGTTGCAATTCTGTTCTTTTGACCGTTACCGTGACAATTGAAACCATACCAATTAATAGGAGGATCAACATGTGGAGGTATGAAAGTTATGAAATTCCTGTGATCATCCTCCATCCAAATAACACATTCTAGACTATCTGTACCCAGGTAAAAAAAAAAATTCAAAGGTTAAGGGGTACTCAATGTTTATTCTCGATAAATGAGGTTTCCTTACCATCTGCAAGATGTAACATGATTAGAACCTCATATCCTAAATCTGATGGATTCAATTAATTAGAATCCAAGTTGATCCAATAAAGAATTACAACATATTCAAGAACTTTACCTTGGGCTTGTACAAAAGTCACGATA